CGTTTAAAACTAATGTAAATTCAGTCTAACTGCTTGCTAATTTCACTTGGATGAAATGAAACATTCAGCACATTTTCCACTTGCTCTTAAAATCCCAAATACTTAAAATGAATAAATCAGCCTATGTAATACTTTAATAATTGACTTAAGAAATACAGTTCTTTATTTATAAAAATTAAACAAATATTTTCTGTAAAATTCAGTAATTAAGTTCATTCTGTAAAAGTAGTTATACCGTTATAATCTTGCCTGAAAAACAAAACAAAACAATAGAACCCCTCCCAAAACACAATAAAAAATTTAATGGATTTCAGGATTATAATGGGAATTGTATTGGTTTTAATGTAAACTATAATGGTGTCTATTTGATGGATTCTATTGGTGGGATGCAATCTGGGAGATAGCAACCAATGGAACAACAGTAATTCCTATTGGAATAATGCCCAAAACAAAAAGGACTTTTGTAATGGTTTAATGGAAACTATAAGAATTTCTGTGATAGTTTCTATTGTTTTTTTCAGCAGGGTAATGATACCCATACTGTGCTGCACATTATTGACAATATTGAGCTGAAGCTTGACTTTGCTAATTTAAAATCGCAAATCAAATCGCAATCGCAATATCTGTCAAAAAAAATCGCAATTTGATATTTTCCCCCAAATCGCACAGCCCTAATAGACATATATGTACATATGTATGTAAACTGATAACATGACCTTGAACATACACTGAGGAATACAATGAACTTAAAATAAACCCTACGACACATTATACTTGAAGACACATGCTTTGAATCTATGGCTGACTGTTAAAGGGGTCATATGATGCGATTTAAACTTTTCCTTTCTCTTTGGAGTGTTACAAGCTCTTGGTGCATAAAGAAGATCTGTAAAGTTGCAATGACTAAACTCTCAAATCCAAAGAGATATTCTTTATAAAAGTTAAGAGTCAACCACGCCTTCCTAAAACACCTCGTTCTAACACGCCCCCACATGTCTACGTCACGATGTGGGAAGATTTGCATAACGCCACCTAAATGTTCACTCCTAAAAAAGGCGTAACTTTTAATCTCGCTGTAATATTGTTGTTAACGCCTTCCAAAAGAGGACACGACTAGAAATCAGTGGTTAAGTTGTATTTACAATACTGTTCTAGAACAGTTCAACCCAAATATTCAGACGTGTCCAGCGCATTTTATGGAGGACTTTTTCCTGATCCTGGTAGAGTAGACTACAATGCCGGCTGTTCTGACTCAAAGACTGTAAGTAAAGTTTTTTAGTATTTAAAGAATTTGCCACTGATGATTCAAACGCAAGTTTTTTGGGCAGTGTAGAGTAGCATTTGTTGTTTGTCATTTCTCCGATCACAAATGCAGACATGGTTTTATGTTTACGCAGCGCGATGCAACGCAACGCGTAAAAAGACGGTATAAGTCATTATAATCTGTAATTATGTCCCCACTGGATGCAACAAATGCCTCGTTTATAATGGGTTTTAATGTTTTTGTCTCATCGCTCCGGTGTTCTGACAATTTGTGCTAACGTTACCCTGTCAGATTTTGCTACCTCCCATTAAAACAGATGGTAGCATAATTCGATAGCGAAAAGTGCTACCTATCAGATTTTGCTTCCAGCATGATATTAATAAGGTGTGAGGCTTTATTAACATGCACACCTACCCCAACCCTAAACCTACCCTTACAGTAGGATAAATAAAGTGTTGGTAGCATAATCTGATAGGTAGCATTATTTGTCAGAACACCGGCCAGACAGGGCATCACAATATGGTAAGCGGTGTAACATTTCCGTAACACGCTTGAGGTATTCGGCCAATCACAACGCACTGGATAGCTGGCCAATCAGAGCACACCTCGCTTTTCAGACCGATGAGCTTTGTAAAAATCGACGCATTTCAGAAAGGCGGGGCATAGAGGAGAAACAATCATGTACGGTATGTGGAAAATAATGTATTTTTAAACCTTAAACCATATAAACACATTTCATTACACCAAATACACAAAATAATGTTCTTTTTAGCAGCATCATACGACCCCTTTAAAGGAGCGAGAGGAATGAGAGAGACAGAAAACGAGTGAAAGTGAGAGAGATTAAAGTGATTAGAACTGTATTGACAGCTGGTTTAATTTGAGATGCGAGTGAGTCAGAGCCTTACACGCATCAAAGACTTTAGCTCACTCCAATCAATAGCCCAATCACGAGCAGAAAGGACAACACACACACACACACTGATTCACACAGGACATCATGCATGCAATTTAAAATGCACTGACATGCAATAGCTCAAGCAAATGACATACAACTCCGCATGCAGCTATTAGAGCAAAATGCATGTGTGCATATGCATGCATTTAAGTGTTTGTGTCTGTGTGTGACCCAGAAAAGCAAAGTGATGCAAGTGGAATAGACTGAAAGAGAGAAAAGCAATCCACGTGTGTCCCAACAAATGGGTGAAATGCTGGGCTATTTTAATGCTGAGCTTGACAGCAATAAACCAGCATCCATCCACAGCGAGCATAGTGATGTATGACTGTGTGCTGAGTGCGACTTACACAGTAAAATACTGTGAAGAAACACACAAATGTGCCCACTTTAACTCTCTCGCACACAGACAGAGTCATAAAAACACACAAGAGCAATAAATATACAGGCTGCTCTTTGTATTGGTAATATATCGAAGATGATGCCATTAAAATATAAACAAATCAACCCTCCTAGCAGATATCTGCTCATGCTCTGCAATTCAAACCCAGTCTGATTAACACTCTGCTGTTGGCATGGTGTTCAAATTGCTGGGGGTGTTGATGAGAGGAACGGTAGATTGTGATTGGCTGTGTTTTCGGTAACTGCCAGTGAGCTGTGGTTTACTGACCCTGCTAATTTGAAACATTAAACAAACACATACACAAACCCCCCAACACGAAAACACTTTGATTGAAGTGTTGACACTAATTCAAGCTGGAAGTGTTAAAGTGTTTTCATTTTTAATATTCAGCTGGGATTTTCTGAAGTAATATGGACATTTATATTTTGTTCTCTCTGTAGATAAACATTTATTATACATTATATATATATATATATATATATATATATATATATATATATATATATATATATATATATATAGATATTATTATTATTATTATTATTATACGAATTCTACTAATAAGAACAATATAAAAACGCACTAAGGATTAATGAGCTACTGGATTCATGAATATTAATCAGGTTGTGTGCGTTTGCTCGAACTGATTCGCTGAAATCAAAACAGGGACAATATTAGGTGAGCACCAGCCAATGAGATTGTCGTTAGCGCATTAGTTCCGCCTACTACAGCAAAACCTGGCAGTTCTTAAAAGCTGAAGAATTCCAAAGGAACTCTGTTATTTTGACAGGAAAATACAACAAAGTATATCGTTTACATGTAGCGCATCAATGCTGCATGTTATGTAAGACTCTTGCTCGCTCTCGCTCTTTGCTCACAGTGAGAGAAAGCGACGGCGAGTCGTGTGCCTTCACACTAGAAACACATTACGCCAAATACACAAACACAGGTGCGCTGCGCATCCATTCAGATGAACTGGAAAATATCACAGATCGCTTGACGGAGAGTGAAACTCTGAAGCGCTCAGTCAGAGTGATCTGATAAAATCTGAGAATTTATTAGCCATTGGCTAATATTAGACATCATTTAGTCGCATATGCGAGTGATTTACTGATTCTACATTTTGCAATGTAGAGGGTTGACAGTCTATGAGCACAAAGCGCTTAATGTGCGCACATTGTAAGTGCTTCGTGTTAAAAACTGCAAAGCACAAAGGGAAGAGAAATCGATGCGTAGTGTATTATATCTGTGCAACAGTTATTGAGCCTTTCTTTTAACAGTTTTAAATTTCAGTTACTGTGCACGTTAAAAAAATGTATAGTCTTTTCTACGCCCGTGTTCTGTTCTCACAGACACCCGGTAGCAAGTAACAAAACATTAAACACCGGCAAGAAGATAAAGTCCTTTTTGCAAAATCATAGACATGTATTTACAAATCAAGAATAATGGAAACACAATGATATTGGAGAGCTTTACCGAGCTGACTGCTGTAACCGAACGTGACCAGGGTTTAAACTTTAAAGGCTGAACGAATGACTGACAGCCACAGCGGAGAAAAGAGTTTGTGTGAACTTTAATGTAAGGACTTAAATATTCATATGTAGCTCACATTAAGCTATCGTATGGCTTCAGAAGTAACACAGAATAATTCACACAATCGAGAAAAAACAAAAACAAAATAAAAAAAAAACTCGGATTTGGATCGGCTCGCTCTGACCGATTCCCGATCCGAGAAAAATGGCACTATCGGAGCCGATACCCAATATGAATATCGGATCGGCGCATCCCTAATTTTAAATTATACTGTTTTTGCTGTACTTTGGATCAAATAAATGCAGCCGTGGTGAGCAGAATTTTTTTTTTTAAAACTGTTTAATGTTTAAAAAAACATTAAAAATCTTACTGTTCAAAAACTTTTGACTGGTAGTGTAGGCTGATTATTCTTATAGATTGAAATAAATGTGTTTCAGCCAGAAAAAAAGGGTATGAAAAGTGCTCAGAGTCGCTGCAGAAAACAAACAAAAAAATTGAACAACAACAAAAACTGGAAATGCTGCTGGAGACGGGCTTATTATTGAAAATGCAAACTGATTGTCTGCCAGCAGGAGGCGCTTTGAGAGCGGCAGAAACATCGGTTTCCCCGGTAACGGCTATAATCAAAGCAGCTCCGCTCATAAACGCTACTTTATCAGATCAAATGAAAATGCTATCGAAACTTTTCTTCAGACAGTCGGTTCCCTTCAGAGATACATTCATATAAAACACCGGCGCCACGTTTTGATTGCTCATGTTTATTCAACAAAGTCAAACGCCACAAATAAATCAATGTATGGGAAACACTGGTAATGTATATCAAAATATCGGAAATGTGTTTAAAAATCATATCACCGTTATTGAAAAAAAATATATTGCGATACATATTGATACTGAATTATTGTCCAGCCCTATTCATATTAATAATAAATAAAATAAGAAATATGTATGTTTGTATGTATGTCTTTATCTATCTATATATATTTATAAACATATAAACGTTTATTGTCGTTTTGTTGTGTTTTTGTTGCAGCTGTACTTACCTAACGCAGAAGTAAAGCACAATGGGTCCAGATTTCTTAGGAAACTCGTGTTCCAGAACACGACGATCTAACTGCAACCAGCTGAAATGACCCCTGAAACATAGCCCAAGAAAAATGACTGAGAACATCTGTCAGCAACCGGAAATGTCTTGCAACATCTTTTCTCATTTATAGCGCCATATAACGTCATAAAACATCATGTGGAAAATGAGCCAAAAGAGGGCTGTTTTATGTTCAAGAAGTCATCGCATGTGCATTTTCATGCATAATTTAGCCAGTGATGACAAAAAGCACTCAGGAAAGTGTTGCATTGATATTCGATTGCACACAGATATATAATCTTTAAAAGGTAATTATAAATCCAAAAGTAGATTCTACTTATGACATTATACATACATACACACACACACACACACACACACACATATATATATATATATATATATATATATATATATATATATCATTATATATTACCTAATACATTTTATAAAGTACAAAAATCTATATTAATAAATTATATAAATATTTATACAATTTATTAACATATTATTTTGATTTTCTGAAGAACATGAGTGAAGACAGAAATGCATTTGTCCATTTGCATGTTGTCCTTGGTGAATGCAAACTGTCATCCCCATGTTGGGAAGGATGTACAGCGGGTTGGATCAAAGGTCACCTGACAACATTTCAAAATCTTTGGAAACCACAAATAACACATTCCCCCAAGCACACCAGCAGTGAGAATAGACGGGACGCTTCTCTTGAGTGAGTGAGTGTGTGTCTTAAAGAAATCACACAAACATCTAACAAATGTCGCACAGCAGTAGGTCACACTGTGTAGGACTAAATGAAGAGCTGGTTGTCATAGAAAGTGAAGAGGGGAGAAAGAGGGAAGCCAATCATCTCCCTGTGGAATTATCACAGCATGCTCACTCATCCACTCAGCACAGTCAGAGAGCTGAACTGTTCATGATTACACCTTTTCTCATAGATTCCAGGCAGATGTAATATTTAATAGGATGTCTTGGGTATACATACGTCTCATCTACATAAGAGATTCCAAAATATTCCTTCTCCTTCAGGTTGAAATGGGACGCCACCAGGTCTAGAAGATCCTTTGCCATTAGCTTGGGCTGAGAGAGACAGAAAGAAAAAAAACATGTTTCATCACAAAAGAGATATTTTGGTTTAGAACGTACACACACCCAGATACACACACACACAAGGTCAGCGAGTTGGCAGGCTGCGAGCGTTGTATTCTGATGAGTATTGATGCACTGCAGTGACTCTGCAATTTCATGCCGACTCTGTCTGTCTGCAGTCAATGTGTGTTGCATCTTGAACAGAGCTTGATTTGCTGCACAAACAGTATCGGAAATATGCTCATGCAACAGAGATATTTGCTTTTAAGAAGGATTAATCATTATTTTTAATAATACAAAGACGTACAGAGCACTGACAAACACCCAGAACAATCTGGAAAACTGAGAGACACCAGTCACAATATCTCTGATTCTGCAAGCTTTGGGCTTTCCCTTTGTGTATAAGTGATTGTAAAGTGTGTGTCAGAGCTAGTGTGTGGTAACCCATGGGTGTGTCACTGGCTGAAATTACTGGTGTCCTGGGACATCTTTGTACAGCTTACCATCCTACCAATATATCCACATACAATATATTAGTGTTAATGTTTTTTAAATAAGATTCTTATGCTCACCAAGGCTACATTGATTCATTGAAATCATAATAAAATCACGATTTGAGCATGCACGATTGCCAAATTGTTTTATAACACAATTTTTTTCTGCGCCCCCGACCTCCCGCAGCAGTATGCTGTCCGAACCAATCAGAATGCAGCACGCCTAAATGGAGCGCGAGAACAGAACTGGGCATAACAACAGATAGTAGGATACAGAAACAGGGAAGATGAGTTCAGGACAGGAAAAGGACTTGGTGCCCCCGCCCCGCCCCCCCAAAAGAAATCAACATCTGTGGTGTGGGAGTACTTTGGATTCAGGAGAGATGATTTATCACAGAGCCAGGTAATTTGCAAGCCCTGTCAATCTGTCTTTGCGGCAAAACAGGGTAACACAACAAATCTATTTCAACACCTGAGGCAGTGTCTGGGAAGCTTTTTCATGACTGTCTCAGCCATGCCAGCATCTCTGCAACTTGAAGAAGCCATTGCCTCCGAGGTGAACAGCTACCTGCTTACTCCCTCTATCGACAGTGAGGAAGATCCTCTTCTGTGGTGGAAACTACATCAAATTAACTTCCCAAGATTGAGCAAGCTTGCACAAAAATATTTGTGCATTCCAGCTACAAGCTCACCATGATCTGAGAGGGTGTTTAGCAAAGGAGGGAATGTGGTGACATGCCAACGTTCATGCTTAAAACCAGAAATGGTGGACATGCTGGTTTTCATAGCAGAAAACCTTTAAACATTTAAAGCAGCTAATTTCTGCCACTGTTCTAATTGTAGTTATTTGAGAGACTTTAGTCTGGGTTTTTTGTTGTTTTGATGGTTTGATTACCCAATTTTTGTTTTGCCATATGTCTGTTCTAGAGACATTTTGTTACACCTTTACTTAGTTATAATTTTTGCCTTATGTTTGTTCTAGAGACATGTTACAGCTTTTTGATAAAGCTCTAATTGGTTTCCTTTGGAAATATGTTTCAAATTCACACTGAATGCTTTTATGACTGTAAGTGTGTCAAAATCGTGATTAAAATCAAAATCACAAAATTGATCAAAGAAATCGTGATATGTTTTTTTGTCCATATCGCACAGCCCTAATTTTAAAATGTAATTTATTCCTCTGATGCTAAAGCTAAATTTTCAGCAGCTATTATTCAAGTGTTCAGTGTCACGTGATCCATCAGAAATCATTCTAATATGCTGATTTGGTGCTCTAGAAACATTTTTTTTATTATTATTAATGTTGAAAACAGTTCTAAAATTGAACAGTAGTGTATGTTTGGGGTGTGTATGCATACATATTTTTTTACAAGGCTCTGCCAGTTTTTTTGTATAGTTTTTCATAAGGTCTATCTGCATTTATGTGCACACTTATTATTGATGAAATTATATGTTAATAAAGTCTGAGAAAGATCAAACTAGTCAAATTAATTTAAACAAGATGTGTACTCGATATACACATGTATTGTGTGTGTGAGCCTGTGTTCAAAACTTTAATTACTGTTTCAGTTTCAACACAGACCATTTTGAAATAAAAACACACATAATACAGGTACATCTCAATAAATTAGAATGTTGTGGAAAAGTTAATTTATTTCAGTAATTCAACTCAAATTGTGAAACTCGTGTATTAAATAAATTCAATGCACACAGACTGAAGTAGTTTAAGTCTTTGGTTCTTTTAATTGTGATGATTTTGGCTCACATTTAACAAAAACCCACCAATTCACTATCTCATATGCCAATCAGCTAATCAACTCAAAACACCTGCAAAGGTTTCCTGAGCCTTCAAATGGTCTCTCAGTTTTGTTCACTAGGCTACACAATCATGGGGAAGACTGCTGATCTGACAGTTGTCCAGAAGACAATCATTGACACCCTTCACAAGGAGGGTAAGCCACAAACATTCATTGCCAAAGAAGCTGGCTGTTCACAGAGTGCTGTATCCAAGCGTTAAAACAGAAAGTTGAGTAGAAGGAAAAAGTGTGGA